ATATATATACACAAGGTGCCTTTTGCCAGGGATGAATTGGAAGCTTTGCCTGTTTCCATTTGAAATTATCAGATGAAGGCCATCCCTCAGCAGCAGCCTGTTTTCAGTTCAATTACTGTAAGGCTTAACTTTCATAACTCTGGACTGCAATTTTAGAGATGTATGTAATCATGCAAATCAGGCAAGCCAGGGTGTGTGTTCAAGCCTTTATTTGCATATCCACTTATAGGACTACAGCAGCTCAGGTACACCGGATTTTATATGTGGCAAGCCGTACACAAGTGTGAAAACACTCTACCACCTGAATTCTGGAGACCTTTATTTCAGGCAGATGGTGTGAACCAACACTGCATCTAAAAATTTCCAGAAAAGTAAAGGTGTTACAAGAGTGTAAATTGTTTGGGTCTGTGCAATCATCAGGGATATTATTTTTTTCCTATCCTTTTGTTTTTGTGGGCACATACAAGCTAACAGGGAAGGCATGAGTAAACGGCTCTTCAGAGGCCCTTTCTTGTGCATTTTGCAGTTCCACTAAGAACCCTGAGAACATTATGGGATGGATTTTAAGCTTTATTTGTCTTAAATAGAACAGGGGGAACGGAGCCCTAGTGAATCAAATAACTCAGCTCAAAACTGAGACTGACAGTCCTGACAAGTGCAGGCTCTCGTCCTGATGACAAATCAATTTCACAGTGTATTTTAAAACGCTCAGAAAACCAACCATAAAACCAGCACCTTGGTGCCACATATCTGCCTCCTATTTATTATCAACCTCTTGCTGCTTGGTTTGCTTAATAGCCGGCGGCTGGAGCAGAGAGCAGCAGCCTCCTCTCCCCTGCACTGCCCTCAGGGTCACTAGATGAGCTCTGACCACAGAGGTTCTTCCGATGGTACCTGTGGAGAATACAAGAATGAGCATGAAAGACCAGGAACAGATTATTTTAATTATTTTTAACAACCGCTGCTTTAAGTTGCATAATTATTTGATGCAAATATTTGTGGCTTGCTCCTGGCTGGCAGTCTGGGAAGTGCAGGGTAGCACTCTATACAGCCCTTTGTAGGAACAATGTGGGATTTGCAGAGGGCAGGTATGCTGGGGAATGACAGTTGTGGGCTCCTCTGTGTGTAGGTGCAAGCATTACCAGTCCAGTCACTGGGTTATTTTTACATCATGTGTTGAATTAAATGGCACTGGGAAACTCTCTTAGAAAGCAGTGACGTGTTGCTGTGCAATGACAGCATGGACATTGGTGGGGTGACCACTCAGATTGGGGCTTAATGAGCTCTTTAGGTGCTTAAGAGAAAAATGCCGACCACCTGGTTTCTGTTGCGGTGTGGGGAATCTGTCAGGTAAACCTAGAAAGTCATTTCAACAGACATGAAAGTCATTCTGCCTTGTGGACACAGCTACCCTGACTAAATTGGCCTCTCCCATGAAGATGGCCTTGGGCTCTGGCTGATTGTGCACTTAATCTGACTGTCAGACAGAGAGAGAATCTTTCACCCTCTGTGTACTGAATTGTGAAGCCACATCATCATCAATTGAATTACTCCCAGCTCATGAAGAAGAGGGAGGAGAGCTATTGCTCCCCTAAGGACAGCTTGTCACAACAGAAGATACTTTACAGCTTAGAGTACTGTGCCACTGCACATAGCTTTGCAGACCAGAAGCAGCCCGTGTGGGGATAAGAGACATGTTGAGGCATGTCTCTAGTACTCAAGAAAGCACTGTGCAAACTTGTCTGAGGTACTGTTGACTTGAGAGGCATCTTCTGTACAGTTTAATGTAGTACTGTGCAAAGGTGCTAGCTAAGATGTCTGTGAGAAGTGTGGTAAATGCCTAGCACTGTGTCTAGGCTGCTGTGAGACTTGACTCCATCAGGCAGGAGATGGATCGTGGTGGATAATGAATGGGAACAGCACCAGGCAATGTGAAGAATCACCATGCTGCAAGATGATAGCCAGCAGGCTTATCAGCCTGAAATGCACACATGATGCTACACACTATAGGCATGCTCTACTCAAAGACAGTTTAGTAGACTTGTCTCCTGGAAAGTGTCTCTTATCAGAGGCTATGATACGTTGAAGGTAGGGATAAGTAGCCTTTGCTTCATTCGCCTGCATCTTTTTTCATGAGTGCTTCAGCACCAGGCTGCAGCCAGCTGGCCTGACCCTGAGACAGTTAGAATTTAGGTTTGTGCAAAGTTTTCACTTCCTAAAATGTGCTAGTTTTCCCAGAGACCTAGACAGAGAGAAGGAGCTTAGTGAAATATCAAAGTATGACACATCCTTGTAGTCAGGCAGGAGTCTAACAGGGATACGCTCCTCCTGCAGGAAAGAGAATCCCTTCCCAAGGGATTCTTGGCTTTTTGCTGTTAGAGATGGTAGGTCTTAATGGGAACTACTTCTTTTAGCAAAGGTATTTTCTGTAACATGTTGCTTGTTTGTTTTTCTTCCTCTACACCAACAGTGTGAGGAATTAGTGACCTTTGTAGATGGAAGAATTTTTTTAAAATCCACAACCAACATTTAACAACTTTGCCCAATATCTGGTTCTCAGAATTCCTTGATTACGTGGTATTTTGAGAGTTTTGTTGGGGCTGCTTTAAAATGACAGAGGTAGCAAGCACATTCCTGTTTGGGTTTTCTGAGAGACAAGCTAATTTTAAATTGTCACTTATCTCTCTGTCCAGTTCCTTTCCTTATTTCTCTCTTCTGTGCCTGCAAAAAAAAGGAGAAAGTGAGTTTATATTCAAGTTAAGCTGCACTAAATGACTCAGAGACTCCATTAAGCACTCATTAAACAGCTGAATTAATGCTGTGGCCATGTAGCCACACCATGACTCCAGAGAAAGAGGTGATACTGAGGACTCGTTTTCCTTTAGTCTCTGACAGCATACTCATGTCAAATATAATGGTTGTTTGCAGGATCATATGGTGAGAGAAGAAACTAGGAGTCTCACTCCAAAGCAGTGTGCTGTTTTGGATCTGGCACTGGATACTATCAAAGTAAGTGATTCCATTTCCATCTCTGTCATCTCCTTGCTCCATCCCCAAATGCTATTTGGGAGGGTAGTGCCTATCCCAGTTCAGGAGATGGCAGGAGTCTGTTGTGACTCTTACAGTGATAAAGGCACTAAGTGAGTGATGCTGCCATGTTTGTGTAAACTTGAATAGGTTCAGGTGACTGGCATGTGCTGTGAGCCAGCATATTTATATTTAAGTGCTTTGGAAGAGCAAAACCATGAGCAGTTGGTATCAGCTGGTCTAAGAGCTGGATTTCCAGTAGAGAAGCTGTTTTGTGAATTTTTCTAGCTCTTTCCCATCCACACACAATAGCCCATAAATGTTGGTTGCTGATTGCAAGTCTTCCTCAGTATTTTTCCTCTTTCTTTTTACTCTCAGCAATATTTCCATGCTGGTGGGAATGGTCTGAAGAAAACCTTCTTGGAGAAGAGTCCAGACTTGCAGTCACTTCGATATGCTCTCTCTCTCTACACTCAGACGACAGATACTCTCATAAAAACCTTTGTCCAGACTCAGACAGCTCAGGGTAAGACTCTTTTGTGTTCTTGGCAAAGTTGAATGGAACTATCTGGTCTATTTGTAATTGTTCTGCCTTGTACTGCCAGTTTGTAGACTAAGATTTCTGGAAACGTGACAGTTCAGAGCTTTTGAAACCAGGAAGGAGGGAAAGGGGGTTATTTCCCACTCAACAACTACATTTTGGGAGAACAGAAATATGTGAAACTTAAGTCCTGAGGTGTTTGTGGCCTTTTTTTCTACAATCCTTTTAACAGTCACATTTCATGAATTAAAGTGGGTGGATGGCTTAAAAGAAGAGAAATTTGAAGTTATTGTACTGAGACTTACACGATGATGAGAGAGACCATTTCAGCAAGACACCATGCAGAAAGTAGTTGGAGCCCGTGTCACAGGCCAGCTGCCAGCAGCCTGTGTAGGTCTTGACTAAGGCTGATTGACAGCAACGTGATGAGTCACAGAGCTACATGCTGCCTGTAAAGGGAAAAGTCTTTTGAGAGAGTTACAAAAGCACTGTTTTGTCTGCAGCCAGTACAGGTTATATGTTAGCTAGATCATTACAAATCACCACAGTGTATTAGTAAGCTGCTGGGGTGCGTCACTGGAGTTCTTCGGTAGCTCTCTGGGAAGGCATGATAGTGGTGCTATTTCATTGATTTGGAAGGGGTAAACAGTTAATTTTCTCTGTCTTTCATTGCTTTCATGTAAACACTTCCAGATTGTTGTATAGAATAATTTGATCTGTCATCACTGGCCGACTATGAATCTCACTAATCTCAGGAAGAGGGGACAGATGCTATTAGAGGTTAGGTCAAAACTGAAACTGATATTTTAAGTTTTCAGGCTGTTTAAATACAAGCCTTGGCATTAGACTACTACATCTTGGCAGCAAAAGTCATACAGCTCCTTGGGGGTGTATTTCTGCCACCTTTTTGCTTGGGGTCCTTTTTCCTGTAATCCTTCCAAGCCTATGAGAGCTGGCGACCCCTCAGACTATACTACTTCTGTCAGCATACTGTCACACTGAGCCCGGAAGTCAAGGGGAAAGCACTCCCTAGCCAACACACTTTTCTTTCGTGTGCAAATGAGGCTGCTTGATACTGGGATTTCCCAACCAGTGGAGAAAATACTGAGAATTCTTGAGCAGAACAAGGTTTGGTTTTAAAATTTTAAAGTGAAAAGTTGAGTGTAGTTTTGGGGGACTGAATCATCCCTGCTTTTATAGCAGCATGATGTATTCTTGCTTAAGCTGAAGTATACTGCATTAAAACAGTGAAGTTAACTAGAAGAGTCAGCACATGCATTTGAGAGAATGGTCCTATAGTGGTGTCCCAGCAGAGCAACGATGACATCCAGTGGCCAGACAGGTCAAAGACTGCTACATCCATAGGGGACTCCAGGAACTTGGCTCTTGCCATTAGAGTTACACAAACACTTTTTAACTGGGAACTTTGTGTGCACAGCATGTTTTCAGTCTTTGCTGCTCTATGGCAAATGTTTCCCATTATATATCCAGACCATGAATTGAAGCTAGTTTTTTATTTGGATCCTATTATGTTGTCGTGATGAGCCAAGATATAAGGATGTGTGCAGCACTGCTATTCTATGCTCCATGCTAGTCAAGAGTGCTTAAAATTAGAGGAAGAAGATGCTCTGTTAAAGTTTCAAAGTGTCAATTCAAAGCTGATATGAGGAAGCAGCAATGCATGATTTGTCTGTAAAACTCCACTGAGGTTGAGAGTTTAGCAAACAGACAAAGAGAACTGAACGTAATCTGAGAGCAGC